ACTTCTATAAATCTGGATTCTGATAACACTGGCAGACAGGAGTTTGCTTTCAGTGTAGGTTTCTGTGAAGAAATAAGAACATTTCTCATAAAATATTAACTCTCACAGTACACTTGAGCAATTTGTAAATCCGAAACTATTGTTTTTAACATTTTGGAAGGTATCTGTACTACTGTACTTAATTTTGAGTGTTGTCCTATACAGTATATACCTTTTGATATAAGAAGACTATAGAGCAAGTCTTTCTGCTTTACTGTACAGATGTTCTGATATTCAAACCAAAATTGACTGAAGGCTTGGAGAAGAAATTAAAAATAAAGAAATCATTTACAATTACATTTTCTTTTCAAAATGTGAGCCGTTATTTATTTCTTTTGTCCAAATATGCATTGTAAATAGGAAGGTGAAAATTCTTCATACAAATGGAATGTGCACAGCCATCACTGGGGGGGGGGGGGCATTACGTGCCCCCCTCCCAAAAAATAAATTTCTAAGAAAGTGTAAAACAATGTTTTTGTTTTTAGAAATATTGAAAATTATTTATGTAACTAATCTAACATTTCAATCAAATTTTATTTTTCTGTCATGAAGAATGAAAAACCGTAGCATCATCTGTAGAGTTGCATGTCTCAAACTGGCGCTCAAACCAGGTCTCCAGTTTAAACCAAATGCCCACCTGTTCGAATTGTTCTGGAGAAGGCCCTGGTAGCAGGGTTAAATACAGACTGGGGCAGTGCGGTGGCTCTGTGGCTAAGGCTCTAGGCTTGTGACTGGAAGGTTGCCGCTTTGTATCCTGTGGCTAGTAGAGGATTCCTACTCTGTTGGGCCCCTGTGCAAGGCCCTTAACTCCCATCTGCTCCAGGGGTGCTGTACAATGGCTGACCCTGTGCTTTGACCCCAAGCTTCTCGCCCTGTCTGTGTGTCTCATGGAGAGCAAGTTGGGGTACATACAGTAATGTGAAAAGACAAATTCCTAATATAAGAAATTGTATATGGCCAATAAAGTAATCTTATCTTATCAGCTATGGCCTCTGGGAGAAGCTTGGTAGTTTGTCAGCATCCCATTAGATGCAGCTCATTTACTAGATATCTATTTTTTTCTTTTAAGTACAGTATTTTGTCATGAGCCCTATTCCTATGCAGTCAACATAAAAGGTATTAATACATCAAAGGGACCAAATGAGTTTGATAAGCCAAATGCTTCCCTTCTGTTTCCAAGTCTTCTTTTGTTCTTATGTATTTATGTTCTGTTGGAAATTACTTTACATTTATTTAATTAAAAACACTGTTTATTTGAGTTCATGCTTTATTTTAGATAAAGGCGAAAAGACATTAGTTTGCAAACACTTTACCTATTTAAATTATCCTTTACAAAGTTATTCTTCTGCCTATCTAATAATACATTTGAATAATTTTCAACTTCAAAGTGGGAGCTAAAAGTTACAATGATACCAGAAAATCAAAGACGACTGTAAATTCAAGCAGACAAAACGAAATACCACACTCAAAATGCTATCCTGCCTTTCACAGTTGTGTGCAGTAAAACATAATGATAAGGTGGAAAGGACCAAGACATACATGTATAGTACCGATAGGAAGTTAAAACTTCCAGCTGGGTGGAGCAGTGGCACTGTGGCTAAAGATCTGCACCTGTGGCTGGAAGGTTGCTGGTTAAAATCCTGTGGCCAGCAGAGGAATCATACTCTGTTGGGCCCCTGAGCAGGGCACTTAACCCCCACTGCTCCAGGGGGACTGTACAATGGCTAAACCTGCGCTGGCTGATATTGACCATACAGTGACAAATCTGAAGTGAGTTATTAAAAGCAGTAGCAATATGGGAAATGTATTGTTTGCTTTGTCAAAAAAAAGTATTGTATCTGTCTTCCTTTAGTTTGCTGCAAGGCATATTTGTGGACATTAAATAGATCCTTGACTAATGTATAAAGTAAGGCTTTGTTTTAAAGGGCATCATGGGCCTCACAAGTTCTGGGTTTAATTCTGACCTTGGATATCTTTCTACATGAAGAAAAACATTCAAAATACTACTGCTCATCTTAGAGTGTGGGATAATTGTTTTCCCAATACCTCAGTGAAGTGCTAAACTCCCTTAACACCTACATGTCCTGTGTGCTCTTAAAAAAAACAATATTATTATTATCCTGGCATCCCATCTACCTCTTCCCTCTCTGTTCTACTATGTACCCAAAGATTTTGGGATAAGCTCTGTCTTCCTGTGACCCTTACTATGATACACAGCTTGCTGCTAATGGATGAATTGATGTGTTTGAAAATAGCACCATAACACGGGAATTTCTGAGTGTGTGTGGGACATCTATAAAGTGAGTATCCCAGTAGTAAGGTAGATGACAGCACATCCTCCAATTTTTAACCTTTTTTTTCCAAGTGGGATTTACTGTACAGTACCTCATAAAAATGTACTGTTATTGTTAGATAACTCTTTTTTTCCCTTTCCTATGACATAGTCCATGAAGGATCACCTGTTTTAGTGGAGTAAAACATACCTATAGTTTTTGAGAAAGGGTTGCGGAATATTTAAAGGTGTATATCATGTGTCCTTTATGTCTTCCACATCTGCATTCTGTTTTTTACAGAATATTACATTCTATACAAAGACAGTTTAGTTGTAAGATTATTGTATTCCAAGCATGAATCACAGATTATGGCCAAAATCATTTTTTCTGGATGAAGAAAACAAACACAATAATTTAGAAAGTCATTTGTTCAATCTAATTTTATGTATAATTAGTTTCTATCTTTCTTTTAAGTGAACTTGAACTTTATTGCCCTATATAACTGGTACATGGAATGGAACGGTATTGGAATTCTTACAGAAAGTCACTTGATTGTTAAAAAAGGTGTAAAACACAAAGTGCAGACAGTGCATCAAGACAATATACAAACAGTTTGAATGTAAACAATGCAGACATGTAAACAATGACTGCAGATGTGCAATAAATAGAATTACAATGAGGTAGATTGTGTAGGTGTAGTCCGAGGGGCATGACCAAATGTGTTCGCCAATCACACTGCTTGTGGATAGAAGCTATTGAAGAATCTGGTGGTAAGTGTCCATATGCTCTTGTATCTCTTGCCTGAGGGCAGTGGGGTGAAGAGCTCATGCCCAGGGTGGTGACTGTCCTCTGTGATGGCCAGAATTCTACCATGGCAGTGGTCCTCATAGAGCTGTTTAATCTCTGTGAGTTCACAGCTGATGAGCAACAGGGCAATTCATTGTAGTCACAACAAATTATGTTAGGGGCTTTTGACTTCTGGGATGGGAGATGGAAAAAGATGTATAATTCCAGTAATACTTCTTTTGAGATTGAATTGTAGCCTGCCATTTTTATTTGCTCTTGAGCAGGGGGATGGACAGAAAAGGGAATTAAGTGTGTTCCATTAATGGAAGAAGATAAAGCAAAACAGAAGTAAACTCGTAAAATACTCATTCTGTAGTCTTATAAAGTAAGGAACCTGCTCTGTCTCCATGCAACTTCGATGGGACTGGTGTTTGCTACTGAGAAAATATTGTCAACGTTACAGAACAGATCTTACCGTTATATAAGATGGCAGTTTCTGTGGTTTAACTACAAAAGTTTCAAAAGTATGATTTTAGCTTCCCGTTGTCATGCTATTACTGTATGTTTGTTCTTTCTCACATGGCAAATGGCAGCTCCCCTACTGTAGATGCTAATGGAGACTAGCCATATACTGTATAGTTTATTGGCTAGCTGGTAGCTGTTGAGTACAGGGAGCTAATTATATCTAATCAACTCAGGATTACAATGGGTATTTAGAGCTGTTTGGTAGCAGAGCAGTGCAAACAGTGGGTGACATGTGTAATTAAGCTGGAGCAGCAAGCTGCAGCAGGTGTTAATAGTATAGAAATGGCTCTATTGCCCTGATTGTAGGGATACTGTAGGTGACATGCAGTTTTTTTATTTTCAGTATTTTTAATGTGCATTTATAGTTGAACGACCAAGAATTAATTATATCTGAATTTTTAGACATCTGAAATCTAAGACATCGCCAATATCACTAACAGCTATAGAGATTAGTGTTTTTTCATAATGAACTCACATCTTGCAAAGCATTGAATTCATCATGTTATACTGTAGGTGTTAAAGAGTCGGCAGTAAAGCCGTGTACAGTATCAGCTGTCTGAAATAATAATATTGCATCAGTTCATGTGCTGGACACACTTTATAAAGCCCTCTCACTTTATAGGATTACAATAGTATTATTCTGTTGGACAGCAGGGGCTCTTGTCTGGCTAGACGCAATGAGAATTCTATGCTTTATAGAATTGCAGGTTCAGTGAGCCACAGCAGGCATTCATGATATGAAACCTGAGGGAAGCAAAGCCTGTTATTTGGAAGAGCTTTCCCCTTTTCCTGTGGTGTTTGTCTGTCTAGCAGGTGCCACACCTGCCAGTGTTAAATTATGCAGATAATATACAACCCAGGTGTCTAATGAAGATTCTGAGTGATACTTCCTTGAATCATTAGGTCCATACTGCTCTCTGCTGTCCCTGCTGTCCTTCAGTCACCACTCTATCATACCATTGTTTGCTGTGCATGCTCTAAGACAGGATTTTCTATAGGATTTCTTTTTGCTATTCATAAAGCAAATCTCAATGTGTGCCCATAAATAAGATTAATAAAGCACCACACTCTGAGAATAAATATGCTATAGATTTATTACAGAAACAGAATCATTAAAGCTCTGCAATCTTTGTGCCATTTAAAAAAAACTGTCAAAATATAAATGACATGTATACAAAACAGCCAGAAAAACAATAAATTCATGCCAAGGAACAAGTAAGGGTTTATTCCATGCTGAAAAGAGAAGAAAGAAAACAACGTTTCGGCTGTGGAGCCTTCTTCGGGTGAGCCTTTGCAGCCTACGCATGCTGACGCAGCTACCCACCGGAATAAATTCATTCATACTAGTAACTGGGGATTACGATTTGTCGTTCACAGGAGCCAGTCTCCCCAAGGCTCAAGTCAAGACAGCATCTCTGGGTCTCGCCGGAAAAGCAAGGTCGCCACTCCTTCCAGTGTCTGTGCCCACCGCCCCTGAGGTCACTGAAGAGGGAAACAAACAGCCTGAGGACCCAGCCAGTGTAAGTGATCTCCATCTACAACACATAGTGAAATGTTTGTTCTGTGTGTACAGAATGATGTTGTCTGGATTGTAGATGAGCTTAATATCACTCTCATCCTGTAGATTTAAAATCAGCGTTGTGCTGTATCTATCGGTTCTTATACAGCGAGCCCGTATGACAGGCAAACCAAAAAAATGTCCTCTGGTTTTTAATGAGCTTCAGAAGATCCAAAGAAGGTGACAACACGCTGTTGCTGCTTAGGTACAGTAATTAAGATCTAAAGAAAGAGGATGAATGAGGTCAATTCACCATCCATATCTGCTATACAGGGATTCAGACTTGACTTCAGAAAAAAAAATTGAAACTCTATCAAATTAGTAACTTCAGTCCTTGTCAAAAGATCACATGCAGGTTCACAATATATTTCAACATCCAGTAAGGGTCCTTCATCTTCTCAAACTTGTATAGATATGCTTTATCTTTCCATTTAATCTACATAACGTTAAGTACTCAAAACACCGTTGCAGTCAAGATTGACTACAAATACTGTAGCTAAACAAACCACTTTTTACTCTTTGATACTCCACCATTTTCACAATCTCAACAGTAAAAGTGAGACCTCACAGAATACAGTCAGAGAAACCTGCTGTTTACTGAATTTAGAGAGTTTTAATTTTACCAATTCTAAAAGGGTCTCGACTGGCCTTTCTTCCCATGTTATTCCATTCACGTTTGCAAAGATTAAGTCTCTTACAAAGTGGCTGGGGCAAAGTATTTTTGGATTCTAATCTCAAAACACAATTCATCCAAATAGCTATTAGCACTGGGATCGAATGGCTGTAAGTTTTGTCCACATGTGGTTAAGGATAGTTCAGACTGTTAATACGATGGCATTCCATATATATGAAATTCCTGTGGTAATTAAAAATATTTAAGAGATGTAAATTACTGTAGTTCGATATATGTGTATAATTTAAAAGTGGAATGTACAGTTAATAAAAACTTAAGTGCATCAAACTTTATAAATATTAAATAATGATCCTCACAAGGGTATGGACTGGATTTAAAGAAGCACTTGCATAACATTTTACACTGATGCCCCTTTTTATTGCCCCTGAAGGACATACTGTATACTGTATGTTTGTGCATAGTGCTGTGTAAAGTGACAAAGTATTTTCTTTATTTTTATTACTTTAAACTCTTCCACCTTAAAACACCATGTTTGAATAGATTCCTGGTCCATATAAAACAAAAGAAAATTACCTTTTAAAAAATATATATACTGTATATATAATGTATCAGCTACTAAGAGCATGTACATTAAACAATGAATCAATAGCTTATGTCATTCTTGAAGTTTTAAGTACCATCATTTTTATGTGCAAATTTAGTGCACAAAAAATTCAGAAAGAGAAAACAATATCACTGAATGTATCCAATTTGGCACCATGAAAATATAAATAGAAAAGAGGCTGTGTCCCATAGATACCATCACTGTTGCAGCACAAAAGCACACCTGATCACCACTGAAATTTAGTAGAGCTTTTTTTGCTTAAAAGTATGTACTTAATATATGGTACAGCAACTCCCTGACATGCATGAAGAAAATTAGTCTCTACTCTGGTTGTGTCTGGTTCTGTACCACCGAGCTCAAGAATGATATAAAGACTTTGCAGCGTTTCCTTCAGCTTTTCAACATTTGTTACCTAGATCGCTTTTTGTTCTTTTTGTCACACTTACTAGTTAACGTCTCAGAGATATTTGACTTCACTCCTATGGATAAAGGAAAATTGCATGTACATCATGAACATCTGAATTATAGAACACAAGTGTGAAATATTTTTAATTTTGAATACTGCATTTAGCATATGTACATACTGCAGACCTCAGTGATGCATTAGACTCTACAATGCTTTATAAGAACAGGAAAAATAATGAGAAATGCAAGGCAGAGTACAGTATACAGTAAGGAGATTGCAAATGCAAAGGTCAGGAGGCTTCTTCCTATCTCGCATATCGGAGGAATTGATCTGGCCTTTTCGCATCAAACATGGAGTCTCTCAAAAGAAATACGGGGGCATTGATCGTTGACTTTTACTGTTAGTCTCATTGTTTGATTCTTATATTTGCTCTCTTCTATTTCTTTTTTCGGAATTTTATTGAACTCAGTCTACCTTAATTGCATGCTGTGCATATGCTTTTGTTGCTTTTCAAAAGTCATGTGGTTTGGAAAGAAAATGTGTTTAAGACACGGGCACAACACTTGTGAGTAACAGTCAACACCTGGCATTCTATCAAGTTCAAAACATGCTGTTTTTCTCTGTAAAAATCTGACAGCTTTACTGGAAGAGCAAGACTGAAATATGAGTCATGGACAATTGTTCAAGATCAGCACATCCTGTACCTCACCATTACTTTTTTCTGTCAATTCAAAAATGTCAGGTGTGCATACTAATTGAAAGAAGATGTAAAATTTACTTGAGTTCAAAATTCCTTGACTTTAAGTATGTTGGTAATCTTCACGTAGTGAGTGTTCATACACATTTAAGCAATACCCCAATATCTCAGTGTAGTTCTGTATAATGCTTGTGCTGAATTATTTTATTGTTTCACCCTGCTTTGTTTGCATTTGTTAAAACTAAGATCTGAATCTAAGTCTATACTGCTGGTGATATGGAGAATGGGCCTACAACACAGCACTTAACAAAGTGATTGATTGATAAGTATCCCAGGGGTGCTTTCTAGTTGTTTTAATTTAGGTTGTGCTAGAAAGCTGATTCTAAAGGGTAGAGGAAAGAGGCTGGATATAGACACTCTGAATTAGTCAGCATACAGACAATTAGATTGCCAACTGATCTGTCAATAGTGTGGGCCAGTAACACTAACAATAAAAAAGGTCTGGTACAAACAAAAAAGTTTGTACCTGATCTATCAACCCTTTGTGCTTTCTTTCCTAAAAGTGTTATTAATAAAAACATCTTACATGAATATGTGGAAAAAATCTAAATTGACTGAATTGCAGTACAGAATAAGAAGTACTGTATGTTGACCATAAATACCTACTGTCAAATGCAACATAAGATTATACATTTCAGCTCTAATAAGCATTTAATATGTCTCTAACCCTGATTGGTTTTAATTGAGCAGCATTATGGATCATCCACTTGGATTGTTGTTATTTCTTTTTTTATAGAAAACTTTTTTTTTTTCTAGAACTAAGAGAGTACTGTTGAGGAAAGATAAGATGCAGTGACTAAGCATGGTATTAACCTGTGGAAAAAAATGATGCAACAGTCTTGTACTTTGGAGCCAGCAAATTGGATTGTTTAAGGTTCCTAGGTCTACGTAAAATTCATTTGGCTGTCAGCCTATTATACACTACCCTACTCGTGTTTGTGACTTTATTTTACCTTTTGGACTGAAAATAAAACCTATGTCATTGCATTAAGACTCCTTTTAATACAAAACATCAGCCCGAGCTTCACTTGATAGTAGCCTTCTGATTGCTGGAGCTTTCATGCTTATCCCCAGTGACACGTTCTGGGTTTGTAATTTGTACCATTGATGTAATCTGGCCCCAGGACTAATTTAAGGAGTATATATGAGAGATGTTCTAAAGAAGACAAATAAGCATTGTGTGTGAGAACGCATGACTATGAAGTATGGTTGTGTTGTAAGGTATATCACATTGAAATGTGTCTGTTTGATTCCAGGTATATGAACAAGATGACTTGAGTGAACAAATGGCTAGTCTAGAAGGACTAATGAAACAACTAAATGCCATTACTGGCTCGGCCTTTTAACACTCAAACCTGACACAGCAAGGCAATGAAAAAGAAGCATCGCAGCACAGCAGTACTCCACCACCGAAGACAAACACAGGGAGCAGACATCGCCAGGTCTCAAAGACACTTTTACATTCACACTGAAGGCAATTCTGGTCTGTCTACTCCAAAGACATCACTCTGGATTAGAGATTTCAGTGAAGAGGAAAAATCTAATTAAAACCACATCTGGAAAATAAATGGAACTATGTTTTATTTTAAAAAAAAACATAAAACCTGAGTTTCCAGCATTCCATTTTTTTTTAATTTTCAGGCTCAGGTATCAGAAATGAAATTTCATATATCATCATGCCACTGCTGGATTCCTTTTTGTTTATTTATGAAGAAAAATATAAAAAAACGGGGTAGATCAGTTTCTTGCCACAGCAGATCCACCAATGAAAATGGCATGTTTTTTGATCTGGTGTGCTATAACTCCTCGAAGTGTTTGAAGTTATGAAAGAGCCCCAGAGAAGACGCACAAGACTGTAGCTGCTGGTTGTATTGGGAATTTGGAGATATCGACCGGCTAGCTACTAGAACAAAATGCCTTCTGCTGGTTTGAACTTTAGTTGTTGTGATTTTTGTTTTATGATCTATTCAGTCAGTTACCAGGTGCAGCTTAATTAAATATCCATCCAATTCCATGTGAATGGACTTTAAATATTGGTTTCTTCACTTCAACACAACAATTCCCTGTATCCCCCAGTAATAACCTGTTCTGGATTTTGAAAATCTGAAAAGAAAGAAAATAATGAAAATACCTTTATTTTCAGTCTTAAAAAAAAGCTTCTTTCAGCTCTTTGCTGCAGTATCGTCCATGGGCTGGGATGTGTGTTTCGTGTGAATAGGAATGTTTAATATTTTTTTAGCACTTCATTTGATTAATTTGTGAACCTTGATAGGGCACAGATCTTGTGGGTCAGATCTTTTCAGACTAGCCAGCCTGACACTCTTTTTCTCACTCAGAAAACTGATCATACTGTACGTAATTACTTGTCACCATATGTCAAGAAGAAGTTTAGACATCCAAGTAATTTGGGGAGTTCTTGGAAAAACTTTCTATACTTTAAGAAATGAATCCACTTGTTTGTGCTATTGCTGCATTTTGCTCAAGAGGAAGGATTTATACATTTGTATCCCACTTGCCAATCTTCATCATCTAACAACACAATGTATTGTTTTAAATAGACAAACTTACCTTGCTGATTCATGGTGTTGCAAGTATTATTCAACTGCAATTTGAATCCAGAGCACAGTTACTGTCACTTTACTCAAGAAACAAGCAATTTGCTTATTTCAGAAATGAGTGCTGAATATCATTTTACATGATTGAACAGGTCTTCAGAGTCAGCTGCATATTTTTGCCAATTTTCCTTACTTAAAAAGTCAGGTTGTGAAATATATAATGTCAACAAAATGTTATCTTCCTTCAAAACCAATAAAGACTCATTACAGCTTCTATTTGCAAAGCTTAGCTTCTGGATGACCTGTTTAATTGAGCTGTGCAGCTTTCTAGTGTGTAATAGCTCTATTTGTTTTAATGTTACTTTAAACCAATGGTTAAAAATAATAAAACCACCATCTTACAATAATTAGTAGTAGTATGAGTTGACCTATTTGTTAAGTAAATAATGCTTTATTTTCACATTTCTTCATAAAATGGTCAACAAGAGCCAAATATTGTTTTGCTATAGATCTTACGTGCTGTTTTCATGGCTGTGTTGGAGTCTGCATTATAGCCATCTCCCAAGCATTCTCCCACTGTGACCAGGCAGAGACTACCAGAGGTGATCCATGATCTCTGTGGTTGTGTTATACATGTAGAAGGTATGCATTTTAATGGCTTAGACAGAAATAACAATGGAAGCAGCTTTCACTAAACTTGCAACCTAAAATACGTTTATACTCTAAAATACTCTAATATTTTTTTTTAGTATAAAATTTTAATTCCCCGATGTTTAACAAATCTACACTGTAATATTGCTGTAAAAACTACAACAACAAACATTCCATCCAGATAGACCAAAAATAGTCAAACCCATTTTTCCAAAAGACTTATCCCCAGATGTGGGGAATTTGAATGCTCGTTAACCATAGAGAGTGGCTTCATTGCAATAGCTTCATTAGGCACTATGAAACCTGTTACACAGTGCTGAAGAGAAATTTACACATACCTGTACATTACACACAAATATATCCTCATATAGAGCTACTTCTCACATTTGTCAGCTGCGATTTATAGAAATATTCTATTCAGAAACAGCTTCTGGATTCAGGCTTCAATGAACAGTAATTTACGACAGCAAATGTGGGATAGGATCTTCACAACCTAATGGCCCTCTTTATCATGTGCATAATTATGAGCAAGACTCCAAGTGAAATACAATTGATTTGGAAGAAATACAGCAATGAAGAAACGCTGGAAAAAAGCTGAATTTCTGTTGGACCAACATTAGAAAAACAGAAACAGAACAAAAGCAGTAAATTTAAATAATACTTTGGTATTTCCTGCTATACTGTTTACACTCCCTACTTAGGTTTATGTTCAGTATAGTACACCTTTGGTGATAAAAATGAAAAAACAAAACAAAATATCTGTCTGCATTTAACAAACACCCAGATATATTTCTACATAAACAGCAGCAGTGACATACAATGCAGCCAATTGTATTCTCAGTTGTTTGCTCTGATGTTTAACCCACTTCTGGAATTCAATGCTATTTTACCTTTGAAATAATTAACTGTATGTGGGGCAAAATGGTGGCTTGGAAGTTCTGGGGTTCTGGGCTACATTCTGCTCCAAGTTGCCTTCTGTGTTCGTATATTAGAGTTTTCTCTAAAAAAGCACAGTCTTCTCTGACTCACAAACCATGCTGGCTAGGTTAATTATTGGTGTACAATTATCCATGTGTATAGTATCTGAGCACACCCAGCAGTAGACTGGCATTCCTTCTTGCCTTGTACCCTGTGCATCCAGGATAGGCTCGAGAATATAAGCCGAATAAGCAGGAAGCCATTTTCTGATAATGGATGGATGAATTGCTCTGCATTACTCCATACAGTACATGCATACAACGTCACATTTTGATGAAAAACAATGCTGTAGTAATACCACGCCTTACTGATAAGGAAGTGATTTAGTTAGCATAGTTATGGAATTATATTCCTGTCTTGGAATACACTATGCCATACACCATACATTATGTTGTAATTATTCATTAACAAAAGCATATTACATACAGTACTTGGAAAGCAGTGTGGGAAATTTTCAGATATTACTATTCCACCTTATGCTGGCAAAACAAAGAAAATATATGATGTAAGATTTTTTACAGCCTGTAACTGACCTTCTGCACTCACTGTCAGGAGCAAAAAAAAAAAAGCTAAGGCCATTTTTTCTATATCTTCTTCCTCTTGAGCTCTTGAGTTAGGGGGCAAATTATGGCAAATCTTTTACAGAAGGCCGTTTCCGCCAGCAAAATCAGTCTGAGTTTTTAAAAACACAATGGAACAGTGAACCAAGGGACTGACTTGCTCCACCATCACCTGCGTCTCATTTTTGTTGATACGGTTTCTTGAATATATCATTGTACCCGTATGTCCCAACAATGTTTTTTTTTTATCAGTTGCCTTTATCTTTTTTTTAATCAAGAAAAACTAATTTATATGCCATGTTTTCAAGAAATGTTTATTTTGCGAATACCCTTATGATGAGTGAACATCACTTACTTTGCTCTCCTGTTGGTCAGCCTTAAAGGGAAAAGCAAAATTAAACAGGCAGAACCTTAAATTGTATCTTTCCAGATGATGAGGATAAGCTGGCGTGGCCCTATTTGTTCCACTGTATGCTGTATAGGTATATGTCAGTGTGAAAAACTAAGCCGAGAGGAGAAATGAAAAAAAAATGCTGTTTTTATTGTATAGTGTGTCAAGCAGTTTAAAAATTGCTAATGGGGGTTAGGGGGTGGGGGTGGGTTAAGGGTACTTTTTTATAATTAATATTTAATTTATTAGAGTGTTCTTTTTTGATAATTTATGAAGACAACATTATCTTTCTGAAAATTTAACTTAGGGTCTTCAAAACAGCAGAACCAGACAATGACTGGCTCGATACTTTTACATTCTAATCCCCTTGAGAAGAACTGCTCTTTTAACTCGGCTCACTACTGGGTTTTTTTTTTACCACATTCCCCTCCAAGGCAGTATTTTCTCAGAACATAAATATTTTTCCACTGCTCCAGGGGATACTGCTGAAGGCCTTTTGAAACTCACTTATGGTATTGCTGAATTCAAACATCCCCAATCTTCTGATTATAAAACTTGACATGAATCCCTGAAGAAACATTTTTTTGGTTCTTTCACAGGTTTGCTTTGATAATTAAGGTTTGATATTTGGATCCCTTGTTTTTCTTCAACTAAGACCACTGTGTTCCATTGAAGTTAGGTACTAGACTATAAAGCTATTTAAAAGCTTATAGATTTATCAGTCCCAAATAAATTAACAAAAACTATAAAACATGTCTTGATAATGGCTTTCTCTTGAAGATACAACCTGCAGTCAGGAAAATGTAGAACGATACTTATTTTTACATAAGGAAAAGTCAAATAAATACTATTATACCAGCCAATGAGAAAATAATAACATTGTCTCTAAATAAAATGCCCATTATAAATTAGGTCATATGTTCTGAAGATAGTATATACAATAAGAGATCCCATGAGAAATAGAGAAATATACCCTAAAACATTACATGCTTGTTAAGGTTAGCATTTTCTGTTACGTTGTGTGTTTTTCTAACAATGATAACCCCAGTCAAAGATGGACTTCACTACATAAAGAAATATAGCGGTTGTCAAATAAATTCTGATCAAACCTAAACGAGCCCATTGTAATCTGCATACATCATCTTTGTCCTTTCGATTTTAGGCATCTGAAATTCTGAGGAGAATAGTCTTAGCATTCAAGGAAAAGTGAGGTGAAACTAAAACTGTTCACTTTAAAATATATATTAACATACACACCCTGTCCGATATTCTGCAGTATTCCTGTCTTTCTGTAAAAAGGGAAAATAAATCTTACTTGTAGGACAGCTTTACAGTATGTGACTCGAGTTATAACTCTTCCAGCAATAAGTCTGTTGTCAAAAGAGTTTATCTTCAGCCAGCTTCTTCATTCATTAAGAACTCTATTGATGTTTTAATGAATACCCATAGGTACAGTATTTATTAAATAGTGTGTACTTGAACAATACTGAAAATATGCATAGTCTGTCCATATGAATATAATTTAATACAACAGAAAGTCAGTCTACCTTACCACCCTGTAGTGGTTTATAGATTACGAGTATAATACTATCCTAAGAGATTCATGTGTAACAGTTTTAAATCAGTGTAAAGGTTGAATGTGGTCACAAGTCAACAATTCCTTAAAGAAAAAATATCTTCTACAAAAGAGTTATAGTTTTACTATAAAGAGTTTCTTCAAAGTAACTTTGAAATGGCCAAATTGTCTGTACATTGGAAAATTGGATATTGAATTCCGTTAAAGTATTAAGATGGCAGTAAACGCATGGTAGCTCAGTGTAGGTACAGGCCCATTACGTCTCTATGGTGCAGAGTTATGCGGTTTAACCAAAGTGCAGCGGAAGGTGACAAATGTGAAGGTGATTTAGGGTAGACTCAGCGGATAATCATTTGGAAGCCTCCTTTCTGGCTCCAGAACATGCATCTGTCCAGAGAGAAAGACGTACAGCAGATTTAATATTCAAAAAATTGGTTTGAACGACCCTTAAGAGGTCTGCTTAGACAAAATAACTTAAACTTGAAGACAAAGTTTTCATAACACAAAGAGCTTGACCACGCTACAGAAACAGTGAACGTTTTAGAAAACAAAAGAAATGTTTTTGAGAGAAGACCTAAGTAAACATGTTTTGAACATATGGAACAGTTCTTAAATTGTCAGAGTCTAGACTCATTGTTAACCAAATTAGATTAGTGATTACAATATTTAAGTGTACATTTTGTTTTTTTGAGGAGGGGTGAAGGTTGCATACAATTAAAAAAAAAAGCATTATGGCTGTTTCTACACAATCTTGTATACAATTGCTGAAAAAAAATGGTTTTGTAATGCACTGTAGAACAGTCTGATGTTCCTTTTTTATAGAAATGTTATTTCAATGGTGCATTCTTTTTGTTTGATAAATAAAGTTTTTGATATAAAATGCAGTTGATTTAGTGTGGTCTTTTGTTCTCTTTCCTACAGTCCCTTACAAAAGTATGTCACCTTGACATTAGAGCCATGCTCACAAACACCATTATTTTACTGGGAGGTAACAGGGAAATAGCTGAAAACAGAATTTAATTCTGCTATTCCACTATTTTTCTAACCTGTAATTTATATTGCATGAAGTGCCAGAAAAAGCTGATGAAACATATGTTAATTTCAGCAGGTGGTGATGCTTATTTGTATTTGCTCTTGCATGGAGTCATATTAAATGGCATTTTCCATCTTTTTCTTTCCATGCCCAGCTTTTTTTACTAGTACTGGCATTACAGAAAAAAATGTACAGTTTTAAGTGCTGTATATTGTAACGCTACAGGGTTCACGTGGGCACCCTCGCCACTGCCACATCAGGTCAGCCCCCCACCGTCAGGGACTCGAACCCGGGCCTCCAGCATCACTCAACAGAGACCCAGCCTCTTGAGCCAAAGGGAAATCTCCCGGCAGCCCAGCGGTTGCGGTCCCTGCTATCCACAGGGAAGGGCGGGGACGTCACTGCCCTTGTAAGCCAGCTCTCACAAGCGATGGAGGTTGTATGCGTTACAATATTAATCTTTGTTCATATTTTTATATTGATTACTCTTATACCTATTAGAGCTGGCACATCTACATTAAGTTCCAGAATTTTCATTTTTTCTTCCCAAACTCTGAACTGGATGTGGTCAAAATGACACAATAGTTAACAAATTACAGTCTTGCCAGATGTAGTAGGACAGTATAAAGCAATTGATCTGTGACACTAGCTATGGTTTAGCATCTGTCATTAAAATCTCTAACAAAATCTTCTTTATGGGAACTGCTGGGAACATCTGATTTGAAGATTTCATCAGTATCCAAAGCAGCTTCAGATGAGCATGTCACAATTTGATGTGATAATATTTATATATCAGGTAATTTACTGCTTTTCAATCAATAGCCATATTTATACAGTATGCCTATAAATACATGCATACAGTATACATACCTACAATATGGCCCATGTGCAACTAGTTTGCCCAGGTAACTGCAGAGTTAGTAGATTTCTCTCTAGTGACAATCGATGAAACCTGTAGAATATGGGCCCTGCTTAAACCAGAATAGCTGGCTGATTATCATCTTATTTTCTTGGCAATACATGACCAACATTTGGCCCATCTAGCTCTTTTGATTGCTAGTAGCTAATTCATTCAAGTATCTCATCCAACCATTTCATCGAAGAAGCCATGATATTGGATTCAACTACTAAGGTGGGAAGCCTGACCTAGACACCCCCAACAATTTATGTAAAAATACTTCCTATTCTGCATTTTAAATGCATTTTCCATATAGTTCCACTAATTCATGTTTCGCTGGTGATTTTGAAGAAATGTTTTGGGTTGACTTTGTCAGCACCTTTGAAGATTGTGAATATTTGTCTTCCCTCGTAGTTTTATCTGTCCAATGGTTCAATTTGTTTTAATCTGGCAGTATATAACATTCTTGTAAACTCAGGAATGAATATGGTCTAATTCCAGAACAGCAATACATTGTTTGTTACATGTAGAATGAAACTATACACAATATTCTGAATTAGATCTTATTTGTCGGCTTTATCTGTTTTTATTGATTTCCCACAATGGTTGGAAGAAGAAAATGAAGTCCCAACATAAACACCTCAATCTTTCTCACAAGAACAGTACCTCAAGCACAGTGTTTCCTGCTTTTTTTTGTGCATGCAGTTTGTTTTTGTGACCTGCATGAAGCATCTTGCACTTTACTAAATTAAATCTGCCAGGTATGTCCAAAATACTGAATTTGATCTAGTTACAGTACTTTCGAATTTCTTTTGCAGCATCCCCATTGTTGGCTAATCCTCCTTGCTTGGTATCATTTGCAAACTTCACAAGATGAGAATCTACAGTATATTTCATTTCTTGAGGGATTCTTGTCATTTAACAAGTTCTTAATCTAACTGTCATCCAATCATGTCATCTGTATTTTGAGATTTAATCTTCAATGTGGAAATTTATAAAACGTCTTCTTCTTTAAATACACCATATCCTATGCTCTGTATGCGACCATTACTGCTGTTATGGAGTACTGTCAACTTACAAAATGGACAAAAAATATTTAATCTCCAGAAAATTGTTTACTAAGTAAAGCTAACATCAAACGCTATCAGCTCCTTTGGGTTGGTCATGTTATCTGGATGTCACACTTGAGGATCCCACAGATGGTTCTCTTTCCATCTTAGTTTTGGAAATCATACAAGAGGACAGAAGAAGCACCCCAAAGATATAGTAAAAGGAACTATGAAGAAATGGAGCATTAATATCAGCTCCTGGGAGAATATGGTCTTGACCAAACCATATGGAGTGAGAATATCAGAGAAAGAGCCAAAGCACCTTGAGACCCAAAGGTGCCAGAATGAGAAGGTGAAGTGAGAGCATCTTATAAGACAACACCTGCTCAACCTGCCTTTGACGATGTAGGCTTCAGACCTCCAGATCCATGAAAGGTAATAATCCTCAACCATGACTGATCTTGCTGTCTTTTTTCTTGCTTTTAAAAACTGGAAGCCTGTTTTTTTTTACAATTTTCTCCATTTGTCTTGATTTATTAAACCAGTTGCACCACTTGTTTCTTAACATTCTAGAGATGAATCTGTTCTATTTATTTAAATATCTCTACACAGTTGGTATCAATTCTCTGCTAATTCTGTATCTATCCCAGTGTATGTCTCATAAGACAAATATTTTCTTTCATTGTCTGCTTTTCTGAAATTGCAATCCTTTATTTTGAATTGTACAATTTCAAAATTGAATTTAAAGCATACCAAATTCATAGCACTGTACCTTAATTGTTCTCTCAGTTTTGCTTTCACTACTTTATCTTGATTTGAAAATACTAGATTAGTAAGTTATCCTCTCCATCGGTTTCTCTAACAAACTAGAAAAAAAGCAGTCTTGCTACTATTGCTATTAGTATTGTACTTACTATTGCTAATACTATACTAGTAATACTAATACTAGTAGTAAAAATAGTATTGCTAATACTATTGTATTTTCTAATGTGCCCAAAGTTTAAATCTTCTACAGTGGCATCTGTGTCACCCTTTATACATAGAGTACTTCCCTATTTTAATTATCAAATGTTGATTTATACTGTACATAATATTTAAATGTATTGGTTTGTAGTACTGTATATATCGAACATTATGCAATGTTTTTGCACACTATGCAAAGTCTAACCCATATAGACACTGAGACCCTTGATTTAACAAGCTCACTTTCTTTGCTGTTTCCTCTTAAAAGTGTGTATCCATTTATGTTGTAATACTCATACTGTACATATCAATGGCTTCAACATCCCTCTCTGTTTGTCATGTTTCTGTGATTCTATTTACATCATAATTGCCTGTTAATGTAGTAGCTTCAATCTCAAGCAATTTGTTTCTAGTGCTCCTAGCACTTACTGTAGGTATAAGCATTTAATTAAGTGAAACTTTGAAGTTTTATTCTTCCCTTCAGCTCTATTTCTTACTCTAATATATGTGTATCTTCCTTGTAGATATTCTTTATATTCTCCACCCATCCATTCTAGTTGAGATGCTTTTGAATTTCTCTGTGAATTCTTGTGCCAGGACAAATGTTTCTCAACCTCCCTTAATACTCAATGATGTCTGTATGGACAGCTTGGGCTCCAAGGCCATCGATTTTCAAATGGTATCTGTATCTTGATATTTTATCCATGTTTCTGTGATTGCCAAACACAGGCATCTCTGTACCCTGATAGGTATTTGGGATTGTCTTGTAACTCAACTATTTTATTCCTGAGTTATTGTATCTTAGCAAGAAAGTTAATACACAGTATAAAAACCACAGTGCTTGAATATTAGCACAATATTAGGAGAAGTTTCTGGTTGAATTGCGTTCTACAGTATTTGATTGGCCAAGTACTGGCTCTAAGAATCTTCCCCAGTCTTGAGCTTCCTTATTAGCAATTTAAACTTGTTTACTCACCACCTATAAACTGAACAATAATACAAACACGTAACCTGCAAAGATGCGACAGAGAAGTGACTGCTGCTGCTAGAAGTGACAGTGAAGAAAGAGTTCAAGAGTCCAAGAGAAAACTAAACAAGGAATGCAAGTTTTGATTAAACTCAGATCAAACCTCTAGAGAACAGATGATATACCAGAGCCCCGACTACTCTGAGAGCAGTACCAAATATTCTATGATTCTATATTCAGTATTAAATATTCTGCATAAGAATATCATATAATGTCATATAATGTAGTGTCAAAAAACAAAAACATTTACAATTTAAGGAAGGTATATGAATTATTGTGCCACAGCTTAATAGTAGTTTAATAGACAGGATATATATAAATCCTATATAATTCCTCTCATTACAGGAAACCTGAGGCATTGACCCCTCAAACAATTTAATTGAACAAAATGAACAAATTGAGTTAAATAAATGAAACATTCATGAACATACTTAAATTCATGAAAAAAACAATTAGTAACTTAATAAGAATATGCCATATGAATTTCAAGAGACCCAAAATAAGAAAAAGTAAGATGGAATAGGTATATATATATAATAAGTAAGGAAAAAATAGATGGAAAGATATAAGTGAAAATAAAACAGAATATTAGTTTTATAAGTACAAGGAATCTACCCTTGAGCTAGTGACTCTTCTCTGCACTAGACAAAATGAAACTTAAAAAAGTGGTAGATGTCATGCTAGTATGTATTCAACTATTGTTAATTTCATTTGTGTGCCGATTGTTAATTGTATCTGTCCGTGGCTCCTCAGTGTTTTCCTGGTCTCCTATCTGTCCTGACAGACCTCAGGTTTAAATGGATACTTACCTGTCCATCAAGTGAAGCGAGCAATGGAGGTTAGAGTACAGTATTTAACCTAGTATTCATGGTGTAACAGTTGGTCTTGTCTAAGACTGTGTGTTGTT